TTTTTTTTATAAAATTTATTTCTTAGAATAGAGTATTGATTACAATATATAAGAAAGTGATCATGAGATTCGTCTTCAATTTGATTAGATTCATAAATAGGGCAGAGTCTGTTAACCCTTGGAATTTGATCATGTCTACCAGTCTCAATACTGAGTTTGTGATTGCCTATCCTAAATTTCACTAGTTCTTTACTTTCGCTTAGTTTGCTTGTTAGGCCTAAATAAGAGGAGGGTGTATAATTGTTCTTAAAAGTACATATGTGACTCACAATGAGTTGTATCAGACTGGAGTTTTTAGCCGCGTAAACAAGCATCGTGACAAAATAGGGCAATTGAATGGACAGCAAACACCAGAGGGCAATGAATGTGACTACACTTGGTTTGCATACAGAAATATTCACCAGCTTAAAATTGCAATAACGCTCAGTTTCTTCAGTATCTCCCTTAGCTTTTCGCTGTGTTTTATTTTTGGCCTTACCTCTGTACCTCTGTTTATATTGCGAAAATCTAAATGTTTGCATTGCGTACTGGCCAGATATGTTGTACTTTTAGTATAAATCAAGGAATAACGTTCTGTCACGAATATCGTTCTCTGATTCTTTTTGCTACTCACTATCTATTCTATTTTAGGATAAATCTACTAGCGTTCTATCTCGAATGCCGTTCTCTGAATGGCTCCGCTACTCACTATCTAAAGTTTTAAACGACTAGTAGATTTTTACTAAAACAATTAGATTATTCACTCTCGATTTCCATGCGTGACTCTCTTGGGCTGCGTCCTCTCAACTATCACGCGTTATAGTTCACCCCTAAATTTTCTCCGATTCTTATTGGTTTAAATTGATCACGTGACGCGATAGTGTTCATCCGCGGAGAGACACTATTAGCCCATAGTGCTCGTCTGAGGAAAATACCCGGATGGATAGTACTCGTCCGTAAAAAATTTTCTGTAAAGAAGCGAGCATATAAAAAAAATAATAATAAAATAAACAATTCAAATTGTATTAAGTTAGTTTTGTTCAGTTTCCTTTTTAAATTTTACATTTGGCTTTCATGGCTTTCATTTAAAAAAGCTGAAAATAATTCAATATGAGTTTTGAACAACTGGCGCGTGGAAGAAAATTTAGTAGTGATCAATAAAGGCAATAAAGTGTTTATGTCTCGGAACTATCGGTCTGATAGTTGCCCCTTGGAAATTTGATGTTCTTAAAACTAGCATATTTGTTTAAGAACATCAAATTTTCGCGAGGCAACTATCACCCGATAGTTCCTCGACAGAAACACTCTATTGTTTAATAGAAATCTCGAGCTCATAATCTAATTGTTTAGTAGATATATGAGTAGCCTTAGCATTGTACATTTGTTGACAAACTGGTCACCGCTTATTTCCGCTTTCGAAGTGTCTGTGAAGAGGATTTAGATAACATTTTGAACCACTAGTAGATTCATACTAAAACAATTAGATCATTTGCTCTCGATTTCTATGCGTGACAGTTGACTCGGGCTGCGCCCTCGTCAACTATCACGCCATAGAAATCTAGAGCCCATAATATAATTGTTACGTACATATTGTATTATCAGGCCATGCCATGCGAATTTTCCTCACACATATATATGCTATTTACCGGAGGATAAAACGAAAATAGATAAAATCTGTCTTGTAACAAACAATCAGTGTCCACGTTTGCTAGTTGCGGTGCGATAAAAATGGCGTAACTCCTAAAGTCAAACAATAAATGCAAGGACTCTAGTGAGTGTTTCCATGCAACTTATGTTAACACTGCTGTTGTAAGTTTTAAATATAATTTTGTTTGTTTTGTTTTGTTTTTTGATGCAGGGTCTCTACTAAAGCTTTTACTGATCAAATTGCGAGGTCATGAAGGTTGCATGTTTCCCGCTTTTGATAGTTCTTTTTGTAGTGGTAATGGCCGGATACGTCATGAGCCAGTTAAGGTTGCGACCTGGAGGGTAAATCTTCTCGAATTTTTCTATTTCGTTGTCATCACTGTTAAAGGATCAAACCAACCATTCATATGCAGTTAAATCGATTGATCGATCAAATCCAAATGCATACATACTTTCTAATCAGAAAGAACAGCAATGCAAAAAATTTGGTTATATGAAACACACACACACAAAAAAACAACAAATGTGGCAAATACCGTGAATTGAATTTTTCGCCATTTTGTATCATCTTTGTCCATCCCAAGGGCTGAATCTTTGAAAACTGATTGCATTTCATCTGTTTTATTTTCTTGTGCATTACACTGTAAACTGTTTCTCATTGCTATTGTTTTAAGAAGTTTGAGATTATTGTAGTCGACGACGAAAATTCAGAAATGAAATATAAACAGAGAGCAGTTCACGCTTATCCTGATTAGCTCTTAATCGCGCTTTGATAAAGGAGCCCAGGAAAATATAACAATTTGGGAAAACGCGACAAAATACTGGTGTTAACTGGGTGCTAACCTGTGACGGGCTAAAATATTGGACACTTTAAAGGAAATATTTAAGGGTCATTTTTTT